GCGGCCGACACTGATCTCAACAATGTTACCACGTTATGTGCACGCGTTATTCTACTGTTACCTGTAGCGCAGAAATGTTATACCACGTTATGAGCCTTTGCTATTCTACTATTACCAGCAGCACATATTCTGACGTCAATCAAATACACCGTTGCACTCGCCTTTAATTGTCTGCTACGTTATTGCCTAAGTTAATTAGATGGTTGGACTACGTGCGATCCGCTTACATTCAAAGTTCTGTTGTGTTTTGTACCGTCTAAGAGCAACGTGTATCGCTGCTATTAAATAGTTAACATGGTCAGTCGGTTAGGTCTTTAACTGAATTCGATTCGTAAAGGGGGAAACATAGAACGGGTAGCGTAATCTTTCACCTTCACCTTCACGTTTGACCTCAAACATGAACTTCAGGTTGAATGATGACCTGGGGTTCGTGGCGCCGTCTCGTTCCCTGCTGTCGTGCCTCCCAACACAACAACAACACAAGAGCAATCGGAGATAGCAAACCTCCGATTATATATCTCGACTATACTCCGTATAGCCACAGCGTAACAGCCCCCCCCCCCATCTTGCTGGTACACCCAATATAGAGTTTGATGAAATTTTCAGAAATTTGAAAAAAATAGATCCAGGATATTTTTGATGAATTTTGAATTGAATTGAATTTGAATTTGAATGCGTCCGAAGTCTTCCACAACATAATAAAATAAATTAAAAACAAATCCTGGATCCAGATCTGGATTCGGATCACCAACAAAATCTAATCGATTGGTTCTTGCCCAAGACCAAACCCGCTCCCGAAAATTCATCAAATCCGTCCGTAATTTTTTTTGAGATATTCAGTTGACAGACAAACAAACCAACAAACAAAGGAACAGGGGCGAAAACATAACCTCCTTGCCGGAGGTAATTACACAAAAATACATTACAGCTGTACTAAGGAGTTCTACACGGGATCACTCCTGACTTAAATACGGCTCGCCGCGGATCAAGTCCCCTGAAGGCCATTGCTTCCCATACTTCTCACGATACGCATGTGTATGAGCAACATTGAAAAATAACAAAATAATAATACGTACGGGGAAAATGCGCAACGAATCTTGTATTTGCCAAGTAGGCCTAAGTGATATAAACTTCAAATAAACACATCCGCAAACATTCGTGTCGGTTTTCGCCGACGCCAAATTTTCGTAATCCGTAAGAAGCCAAAAGCCGTTTTAAATCATCATCGTTGGAAGATAAGGTGAGTGAAGTCATTTACCCTTATTATGGCCATTAGGATGCAGCTGTGCTTTGAACATGCCGATGCTGATTTTTAGCGCGACTTATATAGTCGGTACACTAGCGTGTCGCCCCGTACACGTTATTAGCGAATGCATTACCATACTTGTCTCACGCAGGCGCAGTGATGCCTGCGAGAGATAATATTCCGCCAACTGTTTACTATTATGCCTTACGTTCCATTAACAGAATGAGTATGGCCAGGGTTGTGCTGCCTCTAACCGCGTGCAGTATGTTAATGGTGGGTCTGCTGTAGCGTTGACGGTTTGACTTTTAACTTGGAAGCAATGAACGTGGAATAAGCTGCTTACCGCCTACTGCCAACGGTCAGCATTTAGCAACATCTAGTTAATCTCTCTGCTTAGTATTGCGTCGGTGTATTCTCCGGGTGCTGTAATAGTGTGCTGTGTACGGGTCCTAGACCCGGGATTCACTTGCTATCATTGGCGTAGCCATTATTTTTAACAGGGGGCCAAAAACAGCGAACTGCTTAAAATGGTGGGATGACTTAATATTTTAATGGTTCCTTCGCCTCTCTCTCCACACCATACGTTCCCTCGCCTCTCAGCTTTGCAATCTTTGTTTCAGGCGCCATGCATAAAGGCGACATTTTTGTTGGTTGTTTCTGCATGCTACCAGATATATAAAAGGAGGGGGTGAAAACGGGCGGGGGTATGGGGGTCTCCCCAGAATTAAAAAAATGTTTATCGCAGGAGATGGTATTTGAGGCACTTTTGAGTAGGCTTATATGTATAGCCTTCATTCTGACAAGGACAATTCTCTTTTAGTAGAACAATTTATTTTCTTTTACTTTCGGATCAACAGGGGGGCCATGGCCCCCTTTGCCCCCCTAACTACGCCACTGCTTGCTTTGACCATAGCAAATAATATAAGTCGTTGGACAGAGGCGATGTAGACCCGGTCTCGAATACTCGTTACTGTTACCCGTTATCTGCGCGATAACGAAACCCCACTGAAATGCTCAGAACACTAAGCGCGATGGGAACAACAGAACAAAGGACGCTTACCTCCCGATATCTTCAGAAAATCCCATGATACGAGAGATGAGAGCTTTGTAACAGAATCATGCTCAGCCTGCGGGCGTGAGACGTTGGAACAAGCTTTATCCGATACATCGTGAGGAAAGCGGAACGAATCCTGTGGCGCTGCTATCTGAAACCGAATTGTCACGCTCGTGATTGGCTTAGAGCATTGTAGTCGCGCGATCAAGACAATGTCTTTATCTAATTTGATCCTCTCTCTGACGACTCCGTGGGGAGTGCTAGCCATCCGTTCTAGCTAACAGTTTTTAGGCATGCTTACGTGAATTAGATGTGTGTATATATAAATACAGAAAAATTGAAATGACAACTGGAGACATAATTATGCACCATTATGCACCATTATGCATAATTATGTCTCCAGTTGTTGTCATTTCAATGTTTTCTGTGTAATTGGAAACTGAACTTATATATATATAGTGTACCCATGTAGATAAAAAAACAAATTCAAAAAATAGGTAAAGGGTATTTAAATGTTAATCAGCGAGCATTCGAGACGTACATAACTTCCTTAGGCTTTCAGCTGACATGCTTTACAAATTTTTTGAATTTGTTATTTTATAATAATATATATATATATATATATATATATATATATAACAAATTCAAAAAATATATACGTTATATATATATATATTAGCCTTGAGACACTATTTTTTCTTGTTACGCATCGTATAGTAAAAGTGGCGCTTTTCTCGGAAAATGATGGGATATGAGATATATCTCGTTATGCATTCGTTTTACGTCGACGTGAATTACGTGCGCGGCGGCATTTTCTCGATTCTATTCTTGTCAACATCATGCATTCTATAATGAATTTTACGCCTGGAAGCGTATTTACTGATTGATTTTAACAAGACTGTCACGCGAAGTTATTCGTCACGTGTTATACCGTTAATTATTCAAACAATTCGCCTTCATTGGTACAGATGGAGAGAGCACATCGGCAAAATCACGGTTATTTTAGCGATTTTCTCATTACACACTCGTGCATAACTTGCGTTTATTTCGCTCGTCGCACGCCACTTGGAGTCCTCGTGCTATATCTTGGTTGCTCTAAGAATAACCTATTCTTAGTTTATGGTCATTCTGGCCGGAGAATCACGGAACCCTCGCTGCGCATTCCTTCCCCCTGTCCGACTATTACTCGTCACTTCAAATGAACATTATACCGAACGTTCCGTGAACAAGATCTAATTACTGATACGAGTCGACGAAAATTGGAACGCATTATTATACAATAATTCGAGCCGGCCTGCAATTATGCCGGGCATCAATGGCGTCCATTGCTCGCGCAGACGACAGTTATCATTCCTCGGTCGCCAGCGAAAGCCGCAGCCCGGAACATTTCGCGCAGCAAACGAGCGGCGCGCAATCAAATTTGCTGGCTTATATCTGACTTCATAGCATCCTCATCGATTCGTCTGCGTTATTTTGCCTCGCCATGTAAATGAAGCCCCCGCCGCGCCGGACCCGCACGCTCGCTCAGCGACAACGTGGACGAGAGATCTGTGTGCGCGCGAGCATTTGGTGTTATCGATCCTGGGAAGGAGCGCAGTGCCCGCTAGCCGCGTGGGACGTGTGCGCGCGGTTAGTATGGAAGCTCTGCTGCCAGGCCTCTCCCACAACCGCTGCAGGCCCTCCCACAACCGCTGCGCGCCAGGCCCTCTCCCACAACGCTGCCAGCGCCTCTCCACAACCGCTGCCAGGCCTTCTCCACAACCGCTGCCAGGCCCTCTCCACAACCGCGCTGCCAGGGCCCTCTCCACAACCGCTGCAAGCCTCTCCCACAACCGCTGCCAGGCCCTCTCCCACAACCGCTGCCAGGCCCTCTCCCACAACCGCTGCCAGGCCTTCTCCCACAACCGCTGCCAAGCCCTCTCCCACAACCGCTGCCAGGCCCTCTCCCACAACCGCTGCCAGGCCGCCCTCTCCCACAACCGCTGCTAGGCCCTCTCCCACAACCGGCTGCTAGGCCTCTCCACAACCGCTGCAGGCCTCTCCCACAAGCCTGCCAGCCTCTCCCACAACCGCTGCCAGGCCCTCTCCCCAACCGCTGCTAGGCCTCTCCCCACAACCGCTGCCAGGCCCTCTCCACAACCGCTGCTAGGCCCTCTCCCACAACCGCTGCCAGGCCTTCTCCCACAACCGCTGCCAGGCCCTCCCCACAACCGCTGCCAGGCCCCTCTCCCACAACCGCTGCCAGGCCCTCTCCCACAACCGCTGCCAGGCCCTCTCCGTCCCACAGCACGCGCCACGCTTAATATTTGATGTTAACGCGGGCGGTTAGATGTTAACGCTTCGTCGCGTTGCTTCAGCGTGTTGATGCTTACTAGTGCCGCCTTCGTTTAACTCATTGTCACTCATGTGACTCATGTATTGCTGTCCGTATATGTTTCAGATACTCTGGGAAGCGGGCACGTGTGACGCTGGCACGAAGGCGGACGTACAGGTGAGCTCCTCCCACGCCACACCATAGTATAGTAACTACCACGCTGTAAGCAGCAATGTATAGGATTCCCTAATCCCGGGACCATGCACAGCCCCCCCTCTTTATTATCGCTCGTTCTTCGTCAACTCGCGTACACTGACCGAAGAGCGAGCGTATTTAGCCGTGATTCTGCATTGTCCGCCTGGAGTTAGTAGCGCTCTTGCTGTTAGTCCGGCGAGCAGTGAGCAGCTTTGGACGTACGTGGGTTTCCTTACTGCCGGCTCCATTCTTCTTTTCGGTAGTTATACACGCTAGTGAAGAATAAGATCGGGAGATCGGAATAAGTTAAGGAGCGTCTGTGTAATAAATGTTTTTAATAGGGTGAAACAAGGTTACTAGACGCCAGAGACTTTCTTTGAGAAATCACGTTCGGTGTTTTTGTCTATGTGTTATCAGCGCCGCTGTCATCATATGGCGCCACTGGTGTATGATAAATTGTTATGATTCGTCTGAATATGTTTCTGTCATAGTCTACAAATGTGCATAATCTGCTGACGTTTTTGGCCTTAATGAAGATTAATTATAGTTATAATTATAGCTCTGTAATTACTACCCGAAATGTGTTAGTAAGATTTCTTAGTGTTATTTGCGCATTTCTACTGTTGTTCTGTCATTTTCTGTATAAATGCTAGGTTTTATATTTTGAAAGCGTTCCTAAGTCTTTCGTTCATATGCATAATTATCTTCAGTGCGTAGTTAAATCCCTATATGAATATTTTTGGCCAATACTACAATTAAATTTTGATTAACTTAAAGACGCTGTCGCAATCTACTAGCAATCGTGTTCATTTCTGATATATGAATATTTTAATCACTCGGATTGTTGGTTTGATATCAAGTCGGATTAAGGCAAAACTCATTCTGCATGCTGTTGTTATTTTCGTCTTCGATTTATTGATGGCGTTCCCCTATAAAGCTTTTATGCATTTTCTTTCTCTCTTAAACCATTTGCTCATCTTTCAAATTTTGATCTGGGTTTTCTCTATTTGATTTATGAAATACATTCAGTTTTATGGATTCTGGTTATCGTAATTTATGCAGTGCCTTGAGCTCTTACGTCATGCCAACGTGAGCTTACTATTTCAATCTAACCGAATTAATTATCTCAACCGATAAACAACTACAACCATTCCAGCTGCTCACTAACATCGCATCTGACGCCAGACTTTCATTACATACATCGTTGCAGTCTTTCTGCCCCACGGTTTAATCATGCTGCGTTCATGCGTCCGTGGTTTATTGAGATCGTAACTGCTTTTGCTAACACAAAGTTCCCGTTTATATACGGACCGGTTAGCGCGAATAAGTTACTTTATGAATACCTGACGCCCGGTGTAGGTTGTGTGTCGAAGAGCGAACGTGAGATTTACGTTCCGTACGTAAAGTATATGACATGAAGGCGTATTTATTAGGCAAATGTCTGTTGTCACCCTCTACGGCGCAATGTACTGGTTTTTTTGATGCGCCATCCTCCCTGTCAGTTACACCGCTTTTTCTGAAAAGTGAAGCCTGTGCATGCTGGAAGTTTCTCATTACATACATGATCATCAATTTCAGCAATACGTTTTGCGTAGCCGTAGAGTGAGTGGTTTTCTGCATGTGTGCACGTTAGTGTGTGTGGGTGTCAGTATGTGGGGGTGTGAGAATGTGTGGATGTGTGGGTGTCAGTATGTGGGGGTGTAAGTATGTGTGGATGTGTGGGTGTCATTATGTGGGGGTGTAGGCATGTGTGAATGTGTCGGTGTCAGTATGAGGGGGGGTGTAATTATGTATGAATGTGTGGGCGTCAGTATGTGGGGGTGTAAGTATGTGTGGATGTGTGGGTGTCAGTATGTTGGGGTGTAAGTATGTGTGGATGTGTGGGTGTCAGTATGGGGGGGGGTGTAAGTATGTGTGGATGTGTGGGCGTTAGTATGTGGGGTGTAAGTATGTGTGGATGTGTGGGTGTCAATATGTGGGGGTGTAAGTATGTGTGGATGTGTGGGGGGTTAGTAATGTGGCGGGTGTAAGTATGGTGTGGAATGTGTGGGTGTCCGATATGGGGGGGTGTAAGTATGTGTGGATGTGTGGGCGTTATATGTGGTAGGATGTGTGGTGTCCGTATGGGGGGTGTAAGTATGTGTGGATGTGTGGGCGTTTAGTAATGGGTGTGGATGTGAGGGTGGGGTACCAGTACGGGGTGTAAGTATGTGTGGATGTGGGTGTAAGAGTAGTGCTGGATGTGTTGGGCTGTTAGATTGTGGGATTGTGGGCGTTGTTTAGTATGCGGTGAGTGTTAAGTATGGTTATGATGTGTGGGTGTCAGTATGGTTGGGTAAGTATGTGTGGGACTGCGTGGCGGTTAGTTATGGTGTGGGTTAGTGTGGGCGTTAGTATGTGTGGGTGCAAGTATGTGTGGGGATGTGTGGGTGTCCGTATGTGTGGATGGTGCTGGCCGTAGTATGTGGCGGTGTAAGTAATGTGTGGATTGTGTGGTGTCATATGTGGTGGTGCTGTTAATGTGATGTTGGCGTGGTATGCGTGTTGTGGTGCGTGTCGTATGTGTGGGTGTCAGTATGTGTGGGTGTAATATGTAAAATGGAGTGGGCGTTGTATGATGTGGTGGTGTAAGTACTGTGGTGGAATGATGTGGGTGTCAATATGTTGGGGTGTATGTATCGTGTGGATGTGTGCGGTTAAGGTATGGTGTGGATGTGTGGGTGTCAAGTATGTTGGGGTGTAATGTATGTGTGTATTGTGGTTGGTGTCCGTTATGTGCGGGCTGTAAGTATGTGTGGAAATGTGTTGGGTGAAGTATGTGTGATTGTGTGGGTGTCAGTATGTTGTGGGTGTAAGGTATGTTGGATGTGGGTGTCCGTATGTGTGGGTGTAAGTATGTGTGGATGGTCGGCCGGTTAGTATGATTGTGGATTGTGCTGGATGTCCGGTATGTTGGGGTGTAAAGTATGTTGAGATGTGTCGGCCGTTAGTTGATGTGTGTGGATGTGTGGGTGTCAGTATTGGGGGGGGTGGGTGTTACGTATGTGTGATGTGTGGGGTTAGTATGTTGGAATGTGGGGTGTCAGGTATGGGGGGGTGGTAAGTATGTGTGGGCTGTGGGTGTCAGTATGCCTGGGGTAGTAAGTATGTGTAGATGTGTGGGCGTTAGTATGTGTGAATGGGAGGGTGTCAGTATGGGGGGGGTGTAAGTATGGTGGTATGTGGGGGTTGTCAGTATGTGGGGGTGTAGTTATGTGTGGATGTGTGGGCGTTAGTATGGCTGTGGTGCGTTAGTACATGTGTGGTGTGGTGTGTGTTCGTATGGGTTGGATGTGTGGGTGTCGCGTATGTGTGGAATGTGGGCGTTAGTAGTGTGTGGATGTGTGGGGTGTCGATATTTTGGGGGTGGGTAAGTATGGTGTGGATGTGTGGCGTTACGATGTGGTGTGTAATGTATATGTGTGGATGTGTGGGTGTGTCAATATGTTGGGGTGTAAGTATTGTGTGATGTTGAGGTCGTTAGGTATGTTGTGGGTTGTGTAGAAGTATGTTGTGGATGTGTGGCGTTAGTTAGTGGGGGCGTTAGTCTTTGGGAGTGGTGGGTGCCGTAGATGTGGGTTGTGTGGAGCGTTAGTATGTTGGGGGGTGTAAGTATGTGTGGATTGTGTGGGTGTCAATATGTCGGGGTGGTAGTAACTGTGTGGATGTGTGGGTGTTCAATTATGGGGGGGGGGGGATGTAAGTATGGTGGATGTGTGGGCGTTAGTATGTTGGGCGTTAAGTATTGTGCGATGTGTGGGTGTCAATAAGTGGAGGTTGTAAGTATGTGTGGATTGTGGGTGTCAGATATTGTGGAGGTAGGCTAGTTGTGTGGCATGTGTGGGTGTCTATATGTTGGGGTGGTAAGTATGTGTGGAATGTTGTGGCGTTAGTATGTTGGTGAGTTAAGTATGTGTGGAATGTGTGGGGTTGTCAGTCATGTGGGGTTAATGTTGTGAGGATGTGTGGCGCGGTTAGTAGTGTGGCATGTTGTGGGTGTAAGTATGTCAGGGATGCTGTTAGTTCCGTATGCGTGGCGTGTAGTATGAGGATGTGTGGGCGCTTAGTATGTGTGGTTTTGTAAGTATGGTGTGATGTGTGGGCGTACAGTATGTGTGGATGTAAGTATGTGTGGATGTGTACGTCGTTAGTATGGCAGGGTGTAAGGTATGTGTTGATGTGTGGGTGATAAGTATGTGGTGGATGTGTGGTGTTGATGTTGGAGTGTAAGTATTGTGGATGTGTGGGTGTTCAGCTAATGTGAGGGTGTAGGTATGTGTGGGATGTGTGGGTGTCACTATGTGTGGATGTGTGTGTAAGCATGTGCGGATGTGTGGGCTGTTCGGTATGGGGGGTGTAAGTATGTGTGAATTGTGAGTATGTTGGGTCTGTAAGTGATTGTGGGTGTGTGGGTGTAAGTATAGTTTGGAGTGTGGTGTGTCAGTATTTGGGTGTAAGTATGTGCGTGGAGTCGCTGGGGTGTCAGGATGTTGGGGTGTAACGTGTAAGTATGTGTGGGTGGTGTGTGGGATGTAGCTGGTGTGACTGTTGTTGCAGTAATGTTGGTGTAGGGTGACTCGTGTGGGTGTCAGTATGTTGGTGCTAAGTATGATGTGGATGGTGGGTGTCAGTATTGTTGGGTGTAAGTATGTTGTGGATGTGTGATGTCAGTATGTTGTGTGTAAGATTGTGAGTGTGATGGGTTGTGTGGTGTAGTATGGTGTGTTAGTGTTTGTGGATGTGTGGACGTTAGTCATGTGGGTGACACTTGTGGTTTGGGTGTAAGTATGTGTTGGAATGTGTCGGGTGTCAGTATTTGGGTGTAAGTGAGGTGGGATGTGTGGTGTCAGTATGTGGGTGTGTAACGGTGTAAGTATGTGTGGGTGTGTGGGTGTAAGTATGTTGGGTGTGTGTGCTGTGTTAAGATGTGTGGATGGTGTGGGGTCATCGTATGTTGCGGTTGTGTAAGTATGTGTGGATGTGGTGGGTGTGCAGTTGTTGGGGTGTAATCGTGTAATTAGTGTGGGTGTGTGGGTATGTGGGTGTTAAGTAATGTGTGGGTGTGCTGGTGTCAGTATGGTGGTGTAATATGTGTGGATTGTGGGGGTGTCAAGTATGTTGGACGTGTTAAGATTGTTGGATTGTGGTGTGTCAGTATGTTGGGTGTAAGTATGTGTGGATTGTGTGGGTGTCAGGTATGTGTGGATCGTGTGGGTGTCAGTATGTTGTGTAAGTATGTGTGGATGTGTGGATGTCAGTATGTGGGGGTGTAACAAGTATGGTTGTGGTGTGGGGGTGTAAGATTGTGTGGATTGTGGACGTTAAGTATGTTGGGGATGTAGTACTGCTGTGGATGTGTGGCGTTTGTATGTGGGGGGTGTGTGAAGTATTTGTGGATGTGTGGGTGCAAGTAATGTGTGGATGAATGTGGGTGTCATAGCGGGGGTGATAGAGCACTGTGTGGATACGTGGGCTGTCGGATATGCTGGAGGTGTAAGTAATGTGGGATGTGTGCGAGCGTTTAGTATGTGTGGGGTGTGTGGGTGTTAGTAAATGGGCGTAAGTATGTGTGATGTGGGGGCGTAGTATGTGTGGGTGTCAGTGATGTGTGGGCGTTGTATGTGTGGGATGATGTGGGTGTCCAGTATGTGTGGATTTGTGGGCTTTAGTATGTTGGGCGGCTAGTAGGGGTGATGTGTGGCGGGTCCGTAGTGTGTGGCATGTGTGGCGTTATGTATGTGTGGCGCGGGTAGTAGTGGGGAGCTGTGTGGTGTCCGTATGTGTGGATGTGTGGGCGTTAGTATGTGTGGGCGTCATGTTTGTGCTTGTCGAAATGCGCACATTGTGTGTAGACTCGTAGCAGGTTGCTACGAGAAACCCAACGCCGGTGGAAAAGGGCAAAAAATAGGAGCTTTTACATGAATTTTACGCGCCTTATTTTGTTGGTATTTTGTGTTGTCTACATAACGACCTACATCCCTATGACATAACTCCAGCCACATTTCGCGTAGACGCTTTTACTTATGTACTATCACTATTATGTCCATCTTATAGAAAGGCTATTTTTAACAGGATATCAAGAGTCCATAATAGAAAATTATTCAATTTTCTATTATGGACTCTTGAGGATATCATGCTAAAGCCTTTGTGCAGTGAGAGATTTTCACAACATCGTTTCGCTTTTTACTCCCCGTACTTTTTACTCTCCGTACTTTTTAGTCGCGGTTTAGTAGCAGCGGGGGCGCTTCATTCCCTATGGGAGAATCATTCAGTTAATAGTCTTAATTCAGCTCACACTTAGTTAATAGCGTTCTGGTAATTTTGCTCTTGAGAATTCTCTCTATACGCCGTGCCGGGTCACACGCTGATACGATGCATACACATGTTACACTAGGAGGGGAAAGCAGTGTGACCATGAAGCCATCCTTCATCATCCGCAGCGTCGCAAGTATAAACGCGATTAATCTCTCTATAATAATGCGGGTAGCATTGATTAAGCGGGTTTGCTGATAACTCACACGCATGTGCCGGCAATATACGGTGTGGACCAGGGATTGTAGATCAGCTGTGACATTGTTACGAGTCACTGTGTGAGGCTGATGTTCCCAGGTCAGAGAGAGAGAGCGAGAGAGAGAGAGAGAGAGAGAGAGAGAGAAGAGAAAGAACGAGAGAGAGAGAGAGAGAGGGTGTGTGTGTGTGAGAGAGAGAGAGAGTGAGCGAGAGAGAGGTGCGACCAGACACAGCTCGGCACAGGCGTCAAGGACCTTGGTGGGGAGGCCAAGGTCCTCAACTGGTAAGGTCTCCGATGACGGAGGTAGGGAGGCTAGACTGAGTTTGTTAGTAGGGGCCAAACGCTACCTAATACTAGTGGATCTGATTTTTTTTTTATTTCTTTGTTTAAAATAGTATCTATAGCTCTTTAAAACGGATAGACCTCGCAACAAAAGGCCTATATAGACCTACTGTGAGCATACTTGCAGTATGCAAACATCACGAAATGTTCTTATTGAGCCAGAAATGTGCTCCGAAGTTGGCTATTTTGAAAACTTGCGGGTACGCAAGTTATTTGTACGAAGTGCCAGATAACACAAAATAGTATCCATGCATACACCATAGCGCAAATGGTTACTGGAACGAAAACACTATATTTGTTTTCTGGTTGCACAAGTAATATAGATAACTATATATGATTTAAACAAATTTCACAATTTTGTACTGAATAAACATCGAATAATGAATTATAACTTTTTTTATCATAGAAAGGAACTCTTACTGAATCAAGTCGATCGTTCCGCTGTGTCCCGGATGTGTAAACATCACTGTGGTGCTACGTTCGTTAGAGAAGTAATTCGTTTAGAGTTTGAGAAGAATGTTATGAAAGTAGCAATACAAATGAGCTGTAGTGAATTTTTGCAACATATGCAAGCTCACGGTAGGTAGATATATGCATTTAGCTGCGAGGTTTATCAACTTTAAGAATGCGAAAATAAAATATATGCCACGTCCATTACTATTGATATGCTGTGGTATATCACTATATACTATGTACAGATTAATCGGCCCTACATCCTGCTTGTTGTTTCAATGAATTATCGCGACTAGCGCGGCACATGAAGAGCGATTCAGAGCTGATCCCCGCACGACGGAGTGGGAGGTTTATTCCCCTTGTCCACCTCCATCCGGTGCCACCTCTGGACAGAGACGGTGTTTTTCGCGTGGCGGTGTAAGCAAGAAGAGACACACGCGGCTAATATGGCAGATGGTTCCATCGGTGGTCATCAACTGTCATGAACCGCCAATGCTAAACAACGTGGGTAGCTCGCTATCGCTTTTAAGCTTGTGTTCGTCACAATATTGCGACAGTAACACACCCATCACTGTACAAAACTCGAATATTATTTTTGAACTAGTGTCAGTAAATAATATTATTATATACTCTATGCGCATTTTACCCATGACTTTGCAAGGGCACTATGTAAAAATTGGCGGTTAACCTTCGTACCACCCAAATAGGTCTGCGCCTGATTGCCGAGTGATATCTACTGCAATCCTTAGAAGCATCAAGCATCAGCGTGTCTATAGAGCTGCTTCTGCAACCCCTTCCACTGCCCCCCCCCGCGACATTACCTATTGTCCATCTTTGCCGCGCATGAGTGCATGCGCGCGGAGCGGGCAATCACTAACAAGCCTGAACGCGAATTTCCGCCCAGGCAGCAATTAAGGTCAGGCTCGCTATCCTATTATTCTACCACCCGTGCTCGTAGCACAGCTACCCGCCTGTTGGCAGCAGATAGTTACGGACGGGGTAATACATGTCGTCAAGTAATTCGGCCTATAAAGGAATGCATCGCATTCTGTCGCACACATTTCTGTGATATGCAATTAACTGGCCCACGCCGAATTGCGATGCTGCAATAAAACATGGCGTTAGTCGATCGGCTGCATATTGCGTCGTCAAGGTCACATTGTGAGTGTCGCGCAGCTCGGACGTCGCCATCTATTGATTCCTACGCTGGCCGTCCCGCGCGCGTGAACCCCAATAAAAGCTCACTCTTCCTCGGCGGCTGAGCTAATATTATGCCGTCATTTCCCGTTCAAAAAGTTATCAAATAAAAGACGATGCGAGAACGCGAGCGAACACCGAGTCAACTGTGCTGCTCGAAGAAAGGGAGCTGTTTTCAGGATTCTGGGACGGCTTTGTCCCGGTGATTCCCGGCAAACATACCATCGCACATGCGGTTATACGCTCGTTAACTCTCTCTTTGGTGGCCGGTGCCGATTTTCAATTCAGGGAGCCGCGGTCGCTTTAGTTGCGAGTTCCGCGGCCATATTTAATCTTTTTCGAATTCGGAAAAACTTCTCGGATACGAGACGTTTTGCGGGTGCTGCTCACGTCGATAGCAACTGATGAGTTCGATTGTGGGGATAGAGTTATCCCATCAAGGCTAAAGTTAGTTGGAGTTAGTTATATTAAGCACATGGCAAAATGTCGGTTCACGGTTAGAGGCAGTTTACAGGCGATTGGACGTATATATAACGGCAACGACTATTTCGAACTAGTCAATAGCAATGGGAACGAGAAGTCGTGTTTTTTCGTTATCATCTGCACAACCAGGGTCGTGGCGATAATCGATAAATTCGTTATAAGTGCATCTAAATACCGATCGTCGGTAGGGTTATACTCCGTTTCTAGTAGGATATAGAACTGTATGTGTTGGGGCGTGCGTGTGTCTTTCTGCGTTCGCGTTTGTGTGCGTGTGTGTTTCTGTGTTCGTGCATGGACGCGAGTGTGCGTGTGTGTGTGTGTGTGTGTGTGTGTGTGTGTGTGTGTGTGTGTGTGTATGTGTGTGTGTGTGCGCTTGTGTGTGTGTATTTCTGCGTGTGCGTGCGTGCGTGCGTGCGTGCGCGTGCGTATGTATTGCGGTTCACTCAACCGCCTCGCTCTCTATATCTATTCATGCGCATCTCGACAGAATATCAGCGCGGGGCGAGCACGTATATATATGCATACGAAATCACCACTCTCGTATTCAAATGACTGTTGAAAATATTTGTTCTCTCGATAATTCTACACAAAATACTTCAACGTACACACTCAAATGTCTATCGCTGGCGTCAACATTTCCGCCGCATATGCTATTGAGGAGGAAAATGCCGACCGAAATAGACGTCCTGCATGCATGCGGGAATTTTTCATTTTTTCCAGGCAGAATCCACGTCGATACATCGACGTATGTTCCCGAGTAGACTATAGATAGCGTATAGAACTGACCAGTGGTCGTGACACGCGTGTGTGCATTCTATCCCGCAGAATGACGGTGGCTTCGCCCACTGGTCAGCGTGGGGCGCGTGGAGCGAGTGCACGCGCACGTGCGGCGGAGGCGTCCAGAAACAACAACGAACCTGCCAAGGCCAGGGTAGCATCTGCAGGGGCGAGGGACTGCAGTATCGCATGTGCAATACCAAGGTACGTACTAGATCTAGTGACCCTGGCTAGCAAGACTCCGATGTCCACGGCAGGAATAAGGGCAGAGAATGCGTGGCTGTAAAGAACGCACTCACGATATACATACATACTTGCGCCTTACATATTTATAATATTCAATCTACGTACTGCATTTATAACTATTTACTCTCCAATCTTACTGCATTAGTACTATGCTATACATCATGCTTACATCTTACATGCTTACATCTTTCCATCACGACTCAATGATATCGCATATATCAAGAGCGTATCAACCTTATATATATATGATTGTGGGTGATTTTGTTATTCCACTGTCGGCGTAGATAACCAGGATTCGCCTGTCAGTTACTCGCGTGGTCTTGCGTTAATGTTGCTGGGTTTTTTTGTTGAGAAAACTTTCATATTTTTTCTATGGTTTGGCGGATTTATCTACAATGTAGTTACTTTCATTCTATTCATCATCATCATCATCATCATCATCATCATCATCATCATCATCATCATCATCATCATCATCATCATCATCATCATTTTCATCATCATCATCATCATCATCATCATCATCATCATCATCATCATCATCATCATCATCATCATCATCATCATCATCATCATTATCAACATCATCATCAGCAGCAGCAACAACAACAACAACAACAACGACAACAACACTACCACCCCCATCAGCAGCAGCAGCAGCAGAAGCATGCAGCAGCAGAATGATGCACATGCTACCCTACTAAAAGAAACATGAATAAACAAGAAACACTACTAACAGAAACATGAATTGCTACCCTACTAGTAGTAGTAGGAGCAGCAGCAGCTGCAGTAGTAGTAGTAGTAGTAGTAGTAGTAGCAGCAGCAGCAGCAGTAGCAGCTGTAGCAGCAGCAGCAGCAGTAGTAGTAGTAGTAGTAGTAGTAGTAGCAGCAGCAGCAGCAGCAATAGTGATAGCAGAAGTAGCAGTGAGTAGCAGCAGCAGCAGGGTATCAGTTGATAATGCAGACGATACAGTGATAATAGTTTTATGGGATTTATCTGAAGCTGTGTTCATAACCGAGTCACGTAAGGTTCACTGCTTTTGTTACCATTTTAATTTGAATTGATACTCCCGAACGAATTTAAAAGGTAAATATTATAACGAAGACACCATGCGTGCTCTTCCTGCGTAGGTTCGCATTACGCAATTACAAGTGAAACATCTTCACCATCGACTACAGTATCTGAGTAGCGAAAGGGTACGCACACAGAACACTGGGTATAATCCGGTTGTCAAAATCTTGCCCGGTTGTGTTATTATAACGAAGTTTTATCTCGGCTCGACTGTTATCGAAGCCGAACGCATCGGCATGCCGACGGGCAAAAGACAAATATCGTTTCGCCCGTCCTGTTTGGCGAACGTATACACAAACATGAAGATGCAAGAACGGAGAGATGAGAAAGCTTTATGGCGAAATAGTAGTTCTGCTGACAAAATCGTGATACTAAAGCTTCCGCACCTGGTAGATTAGCAGGTTAGCCCCGCCTACGCCCCACCTATACCAGATATCTACGCCCTAGCTCGTGTCAGTATTCTACAGCACAGTGTCTAACCATTTTTCACCATATCTCCTCCTTCTTCACTTCGCCCTCCTGATCGTCAACTGGCGCAAAACATTTAGTTACATACTCGTTATTAATTGATAGCAATGTAATGGCCGCGTAAAGCAATACCGATAAGTCGGAACATAAAATCGATTACGTTTGCCTGGTAATAACGGCAATCATAACGTTGTATTGTACCGCGTGTAAATAATTTAAACCTAATTCGTTTTACGCCATCAAAACTATGACTCAGGAACATGTAAATGAAAATATTTATTATCCGAAATACGGATCGATGTTTAATACAACAGTAGTTTAGTACAACAGTAGTGTTTATTTAGAAATTACGATACCAGACGAAATATGATTCTATTGAGCTGTAGATATCTTACTCTCGCACACCGGTTAAGTGTATTGTTGCTATTAGAAATACGATATTTCACTTTACTGTCAGTCTTTTAATAGGATCAATTAAAATCGAATTGACATTATAATTGCATCAACTATCGTCATAACGAGTTCGCATGGACCTCATGCGGTTTCATCATCATCATCTCTATCACCTTGGCGTATATTAAAAAAATCAAGTCTTGGAGAAATGCACTATTTCCTTTCTTCACATTTACCATCTCCCGTTGCCGCGAGGAGATAATAGAGATAGCAACAGTATCAGCTCGATGCAGCTCTTAGTTGTTCGTTCTCTCTCGCACGATGCATAACATCGGCATTTCTCGCGAAGACATTACCAATGGATGAGTGAATTGCCCGCAGTGAAATTTGAGGAAATTGAATTCCCTTAATTGAAAATCATTCTTCGTGAAGAACGTCATCACACGTGTGTGTGTGTGTGTGTGTGTGTGTGTGTGTGTGTGTGTGTGTGTGGGGGTGTGTGTATGTGTGGGCGTTAGTATGTTGGGGTGTAAGTATGTGTGGATGTGTGGGTGTCAGTATGTGGGGGTGTAAGTATGTGTGGATGTGTGGGCGTTAGTATGTGTGGATGTGTGGGTGTAAGTATGTAGGGATGTGTGGGTGTCCGTATGCGTGGGTGTAAGTATGTAGGGATGTGTGGGCGTTAGTATGTGTGGGTGTAAGTATGTGTGGATGTGTGGGCGTTAGTATGTGTGGGTGTAAGTATGTGTGGATGTGTAGGCGTTAGTATGTGAGGGTGTAAGTATGTGTGGATGTGTGGGTGTAAGTATGTGTGGATGTGTGGGTGTTAGTATGTGGGAGTGTAAGTATGTGTGGATGTGTGGGTGTCAGTATGTGAGGGTGTAAGTATGTGTGGATGTGTGGGTGTCACTATGTGTGGATGTGTGGGTGTAAGTATGTGTGGATGTGTGGGCGTTCGTATGGGGGGTGTAAGTATGTGTGGATGTGTTGTGCGTACATATGTGTTAACAAAATCAGCTTGAGCCATTGAGACGTATAACATACACTATATAGTGTAAACAAAGTGTTTCGGGGGAGGTTAGAACAAACATAGCGTGTACATTTAGAACACATAATACATACAATTACAACATACAATTACAAAATACAATTACAATGATGAGATAGTTTAATATATGTAGAAATATTATGTACAAAACCGCCATTTGTATATTTTTGACCCAATTTAAGCCTATAAACACGGACCCAAATTACCTCGAAGCATCTCCAAACTGCTGAGTAGGGGTAAATCTCACTGTATACATTAGGAGTGTCATAATATAGATTCTGTTATGACACTCCTGTATATATGTGTGATGACACCGCAAGTGCGCACTATGACATAAGCTGATTAGATCCTGGTAGCCCTTCGCGCAGTTGGCTGGATTATAGAATGAACGCTTTGTGTGTTGATTCGAAAAGATGCTGCGACGGCCAGGACGACAGCGATTTGCGGAAGCAATAAGCTTTAGTAGCGAACTACGGGGGGTGATGGCCGAATGGTCACGTCCATGTATTTTAGATTGCACGTCCTTATACGCAGTAAATATCCGGCGATTCATCTACGCTCACTCGTTCTCCGGACTCTACCACGTAGCTTCATGTAAGCTTACGCCCGCATGCCCTTGTCGCTCGTGGTGACTCAACACCGTGGCGCACACTACACACGGGGTCAGTACAAGCACGAATTCAGTCAGTTGGTGAGACGTACATCCTAGTTTGCCTCGACGACACTGCGACAATGCAGTCTGCGCTACAGTTTCGCGGACATAGTCGGATTCATTGGGTCGGTCATCCATCATGGCGGGCGTCATGGCTGCTCGCAGACCCGCAGTGCTCCACGTCAGCAAAGAGACGAATTCATTAATCGAATAACTCGCGGGATAATCCGTTTTGGAAATGGCTGACTTCGAAAGGCGGGCCCCCCCCCCGAATTAGACGGCCGACCGCGATCGAGATTTGCAATACATTTCTAGATACGTTATGAAAGCAATTTTCATTTTCGATTCTCTCGGGGGGGGGGCGTTTGCGAGGCATCCGAACACAGGCATGCTGAAAGCATGAATGGAAAAGAAGAGGCCGGCGTATGTTCTCTGGCAGCGCGTTATGATATCGCGAACGTGTGTGGGGCGGCTTGATTTCGCGCCGTGACAATGTGAAGCTCTATAAAAGAAGCCGGAGTTTCCCGACGCTTAAAGGAAGCCGACGCATCCTCCCTCCCCCTTACGTTAGCGACGTCAGCGGAATTCCAAATAACGGCCGCATTCCACTTAAACCACTTTAGCATTAAGATGAGATTTCTTTGCATCCATTCTGGTCTCGCAATCCCAGACAGACACCCACTCATCGTGCGCATAGATTCCGGGGGAAATTTGATGGAAAGGCACTTCTACCAGGGTCAATTAATTTGCTTTCTGTGCGGTCCTCTTGCGTTCTTCTGCATCACTATATGTCCTTAAATGTAACGTTATACCGTCAGACGTTGCATAGCCAAGAATAGGGAATACATACTATAGATACAAAATACCCACAACATTCTGCGAAAACTTCGTTTTGTCGTCACGAAAAACACAAATAGATTAACAATTTATATAAGTGACATGTTAGAAATTCGTATAATGGTGGAAGCATGTCGCTGGATCGGCCGCTCATCAGATGTATTTGGTTTACAGTATTGATCGCTGAGATAATTCATCACTCTCAGCCGCAACGTGTGACGTGCCAGAGCTGCTCTCGGTAATCTTTCAGAAAATTGGTATCTCTGCCAAGCGGCTCGATGTCTGTCGTTGGTCGGCTGAAACAATATTTATTATAAAACCTACGAAAGAAAGACGCGGCGCGCATGAGCACAGACTGATATCGACAGCCGAGGTGGGGGGCTATCTGGCTTATATAGCTCTGTTTTCGCAGCACCAGTATATTACTCTCCCCCACCCCTTCCATCAGCGCCACCGTCGGCCTTACATATGAGAAATTTTAGAAAATA